TTTAACACCGATTTTACAAAGTAATACAATTACTGTTCCAGATCAAAATTTTGAAACATAAGATCAAGCAGAATAAAACTGCGAATATTTGTTTCAATAATCTCCATATTGTTCAAAATCATAATTTTATCAAAGCTTGCACATCAAAATAATCTGACTAAAACTGGTCATTGATCTTCCACAGAGATCTTGTCTGAAATTTAATATAATCCCCCTTTTAAAAGTTTATGCTTGTCATCAATGGTCCCTTGAAGTTGAAAAACTCACTGCAACGGGACAAACAGACCACACACAAGTAGCAGTGCTTTTAAGATGCAGGTATGCATGGCAATTGTTAACAAGACCGCACGGTGCAACAATTAGGCTACACACAAGGCGAAAATTACACGAAACATTAGCCGTAATGATGCAACTATTTTTCCATCAATAGGAAGTGGCTTTGAATGTACAACATGAAAGTGGGGAGTTAAACAGTAACTAGATGTGAAAATACCGCTAAATTTGGCTTCTTCACACTGACTGTTCAATGAGGGCAGTGCAACTACAGCATGTTTAAAGCTAAATTTTACAGCGCCAAAATGTCCATGGAACTCAGAGATTTATGGCCTCACAGTATTACTCACAGGATCAAGCGTTAGCACATCGTTCATTGCTGGGCTTTCATTTAGAAGATTTGAGCATTCAGCTGGTCATTAAATATGAATTAAATGGATTTTAAGAGATATTACAATGTGCAGAACAGATACAGCGATATGGCTTAAATAATAAACAGCAGAAATAGCTCCAAAATTACCCAAAAAGCACTTCAATTTCAGAATGAAATGACTGTACACGTAGCTGAATAAGTATGTTTATAATGGAAACCTGCTTACTTAGTATGGAGCCTGCAGCTGATCTGAAAGATGAGAAATAGTTTACAGTAATCTCATCTTATAATTAAGTTTCCATTTAATTAAACTATAAAAATCTAAACTAAAAGCTATGAAAACACTTATTAAAACTCTTAGGACTCCACAAGGATTATAATTAGAACAATTTTTAAAAAAATTTTTAAGTAGTGTCACTGGACCCAAAACAGTAATTCTGATTTCTCTCCTCAGATGCTGCCAGACCTGCTGAATTTTTCCAGCAATTCCTGGATTTGTTCTTGAAAAACAAAGATTGTAGTTCCCCATTTAAAACACCAAGTGAGAATAAACGATGCCAAATCTCACCTTCATTTTTCTGCAAACATATACTTTCTTCATACATTTTCGATAAGTAGATTGCAAAACAATCAAATATTACAGAAAAAACATTAATGTACCACACTTCTCATTTGAGCATTGCAAGTAGGTTTCTTGATCCAAACTCAAAATTGGAACATTTAAATATAAGAAAATATATACATTCCAAGAGAAACTTAAAAAGGTTCTGTAAATTAATAGACATTTTGGCATATCCATTATGGATATTACAGCAGAATTTTCTTTCCCCAATGCATCTCGACAGCTGCTGTCCCAAGCTTTAATGCATCCTTCAGTACACAGTCCTGAACCTTGGGAATTTTCCAGTCTGCACAGTCCGTCAAGGACAACTCCTGGCACTGGAAGATAAACAAGTTTCAGGTAGGCCAAGGAGCATCTTTCACTGTGTTGATGGTCTTCCAGGCACAGTTAATGTTTGTCTCAACATGTGTCCCAGGGATCAGGCAATAGTGCACAGGGTCACTGAGCTATTCAGGACAAACCTCAACAAAAATTACAGCATTATTCACTGTACTTTCTTTGCAAAGGAACACCACAGAAAATGTGTGATAATCTTTTTGCCACTGCAGCTGTCTTGAGGGTAGCACGCACTGTTGCTGGATAAGTGTGCATGAAACATTTGTCCTTCTCATCACCATCCAAGCTAAGTCTTAGCACTTGTTGGAAAGTTCTGATGATAAAGCATTCTGCCAAATTACTTTGACAGTCTGCTCAGCGAACCAACTAATAGGATCAACCTTCACTTTTCCTCAGATGGCCTTGAGGATATTACGTGCATGATAGCCTTGTGGTCAAAAATGTTTAACGGCACAAACTTTTTCAAAATTGACTGGTAGCACTGTAGGGTCCAATTCCTTGGAGCATTCTGCTATAATGTGACCAGCTCCACAACACAAAGGACAGGGAGAACCTCAGTATGTAGTGACATTTGATGTTTGCAAACTGATGGTCTACACAAGGGCGGCTATCAGGATGAGGATGACATTGGGTACATTCATCTCCCCTCTAATCAGAGATTTGTACATAGCATCCCTAAGTACATACCTTCAAATGCAAGAAGTAAAAATGTGAGAACTGTCTAATGCCAGGGAAAACCATGCTCCAGTGACTCAACAACAATCACAGAACTCTATATTTAACAGGTTTGATTAGCAGAAGGTGCAGGATGGAGGGGGTGTGGTCTGTGCAGCATACAAAACCAATTACAAATACTGACTGTTTTTAAAACACACCAAACAGCCCACAAAGACATCTGCTATATTCTTGAGTGGTCTTGGCAATAATTTCCTGGAAAACCCCTTAAAAGTCAACGTCAGCTAGAAAATCTACTCCCAAGTAGTTCCTGATGGGCTTGTAAAGCTGACTGCTGTTCTATAATCTGCTATAGAATCGATCGTCTACAACAGAAAGCATTATATAACAGACTTGCAAATTACACCCATCTTGAAGATATCTTCATGACTTAACACCTGAAATAAGCCATATACAACTGACTATCCATAATACCAGTCTATAACTTTGACTATGCTTTTCACCCAGGAAGCTTGGACACATGATATCTACAGTATTGAGCTCAACTGTTTTTTATTAAAAGATATGATTCTGAAATACTGTAACAGTCAATTTAGGGAATCAGCACTGAATCTTGGATATTCTACTGTATGGAAAGAGGCCATTTGGCCCACTGAGTCAACAGTGACCTCCGAAAGAGCATCCCACCCAGCCCCCTACCCTAATCCTAAGATCCCACATTTACCATGACTAATCTCCCCTATCCTGCACAGCTGTGAACACTATGGACAATTTAGCACGGTCAATCCAACTAACCTGCACATGTTTGGACTGTAGGAGGAAATTAGAGCACCCAGAGGAAACACACACAGACAGGGAGAAAACGTGCAAACTCCACACAGACAGTCATCCAAGGCTGGAATCGAACCTGGGTTCTTGGTGCTGTGAGGCAGCAGTGCTAACCGCTGAGCCACCATGCCAGCCACTACATAATTATAGCAAAGAGCTGGTACACTGGAGTTAAAGTCACTTAATTCAAATGATCAGATTTTATGAGCACTATTTTCCTGCTTTGTTGCAATATGTGCATTGATTACTTCAAATTACTGGTTAATTCAAATTTAGTTTAAAAAAATCTGCATTATCAACAGCCAGTTTAATCAAGGTTGTCAGAAACAGAACTAATTAAAATGGAAACCAAAAGGACTTCCGCTGGAAATCAAAAACAAAACAAATTGCTCCAAGTAACATCTGAATATCAACCTGCTGATTCTGGACTACAAAGGAAAAAAAAACACTGGCCTGTAAAAAGCTGCCAAAAAACTATATTTGTGCATTCAGCAAGTAATGTTTTTCTTTCATCCAAATTACCAAAGGTTTGGCAAAAACTCTTCAGGTGACTTTTGAAGATAGATTTAAAGAGAAGAAAAAGCCTACAACTCAACTGTTGGTTAGTTAACCAACCACAACCACAAAGGTATTCCAAACTGCTAAACCAACTTTGGAGTTTTAGACTCCATTTTAAAAATCAAGGTCATTGTACATAAGTGGTTTCTAACTAAGTAAGCTCCTTTTTTTGATCTCTTATTGCATGTTTGTTATCGGTATCTGAGATGCACAGCAAAGCATTCCTCCCTCCCTTCATCTAAGAGGGTGTGAAATAAACCCTACTTCTGTTTTTAAAATTTGCCACAGTGCTGTTATGGTCCTTGCAAAATCAAATCAGAGCCCACGAGAGACAGAAGGAAAAATATCCCACGGCTTTCAAATAAAAGGGAAAGAAAAAAATAAAACCACCATCTGTTTACAGACAAGTGCTGAGAATAGGGAGAGAGATTTGTTTTAAAACTCGCAACCTGTCTGTGAGCTACTCAGTTTGCAGCAATATTTTCCAGAAGAAGTGATCAACACAGCAACAGCATTTTCTGTATTTGGTGATGTTTTTAAGTTAAAAGCAAAGGCTGATTGATTCTCAGTTAGAAGAGAAAACATTCAATTTCCTTGTGTCTTAGGACAATGAAAGCATTATTCAGAACCGCATTTTGCAGTATAATGCATCAGGAGTATTTTGTGGGGAGAAAAAAACGTGACAAAATTGGCAATATCAGATTGATGTCCACAGGATCACAGCTGTTGCATGCATGTAGAGCAAGATATATCAGAAATATGACAGCAAATAGTGGCCTGTACAGGAGAATGTTAGCCTGAGGAATTATAAAATAAATGTAAATTTACAGATCAGATTTGTTTTACAACTAATAATTTGCCTTCATTATATTCTAAACTTTAGAAGTTACATAGTGTGCTCAGCTTGAAAGCAACACATTAATTAATTGAAAGATACAGTCAAAGGTTATGGGGAGAAAGCAGGATTAGGCTACTGATTTGGTCGATCAGCCATGATCGTGAAGAATAGTGGAGCAGGCTCGTGGGCCGAATGGCCTCCTCCTGCTCCTATCTTCTACGGCTCTACAATCAGTCTTTAAAAAAAATCACGAATTCCTGTAATTCCATGCAATAAAAACTGAATTATGTGCTTTTTAAAATTACAATACTTAAGAAATCACTGAAAGCAAGTCATCGCCGACAAAAAAATCCAGAATATTAAGATTTGACTTCAGTAAAGTAGTAGCCCTAGTTGAAATGCAACATTATTTTAGATGAGACTGTGACTGAGTGAAATCAAGTCATTTCTCATACATTTCTTTGTATCAATACAAGGCATACTGTGGCGCACCTCACCTGCATAAATTGTTGCATCCATCTTCCCCACTTTTATAGGAGAGCCTGAGGTAAACATTTCAGCAGCTACCTCATCCCATATTGGTTCCAACTTCTTGCAATGACCACACCAAGGTGCATAGAACTAAAACAAACACAAATCATTAGCACTGGATAATTTATTCATTTTGGAGAAGAATTAGGGAAATAAATTCACTTAATCAGAACAATTTTTAACATGTTAACTAATTAGATCAAACTGCTCTACTCCATCAAACGTTTTACTTTCCTTACATCAGCCAATGGCAATAACTTTGCTGAGGTAATAGTCTTCACAATGCAATTACATTCAATGTGCGAAGAGGATATCAGGGGAGCATGAAGGTACATGGGCTTTATCCCTCAAACCCCATCTGCACATCACTAAACCTTTTGTTAATATTGTGCTTGGCTTTTCAGCATTCTCTAACTTCTGCACCATATAGTTAATCTGTGAGATGTCTGATGTTTGATAATTGCAAATAAATTAAAGTTTGGTTTGAAGTATAAAGTTGGGAGTGTTGATTCCAAAGCCAAAACCAGTAAAACTACAGCACAGAGGGTTGGCTCAGAACGGCAAGAAACTCGGCAAAATAAAACTTCATTGCAGCCTAAACATCTTGCCCTCTAAAGAAAAGGCATGTTTATTTTTGAGCCAAATCTCATTCAAATGGAAAGGACAGGTGAACAAAATTGAAGAATCTACTGTTGTTTTTGAGTGTGGTGAACAGTCTGGTCTTTGTATTAGGGAAAGAAAGACACACCGGAGAAGGTGTTTAAAAAATGTATAATAAAACTGGAACTGAGAGATGAAACAAGCTAGAGATCTTTCTTTTAGAAAGAGAGAGATATCTTTTAAGCTTACAAAAGGCTTTGATAAGGTAAACATAGGTTTTCACTCACAGGACAGATCAGAACTAAAGAATTAACTACAAGATGATCACTAATAATTTGATTAGGGAATCCCTCTTTCAGTTTCTCTGTCCTATTAGCATCTACAGCAAAATATAAACTTTGAAACCTTGGACTCCATCACAATGCTAAGTGAAGCAGTGAGATTACTGCACAGGAAAGTTGTGCAGCACACATGTTTGATGATTGCGCCATAGCAAATTTTAGCATCAAAATGAATTCGGAGTAGTGGGGGGGTAATGCCCATATGAATAACTCAATCATTATTTCATCACTCCTTCAAACAATGTTTCCAGGTTTTACTAGATTGTTTCCCTGATGTGATGTGCTCAAATGAATTTAAATGTTTTCTGCAATGCAATAATTGTAGCATTTCCAATGTGCACGAAAATTACAGATGTTGCCAAAGAATCTTTGCTGTAGAGTAGCTGTGGACTGCAACACAAGAGATTAATGGCGTTATGGAGCGAAAAACTGGTAAGGCAGTTCAATGGTCCATGTTAACAAGATTTGCCAAGATGCTCCTTTTGTTTGTCAGGATCTCCTGAGCCTCTTCTTCAGGTACTTTCTTCCACTTGCTTGTAGGCACGTAAAGCTCAGGCTGACTGGTTCATAATTTATAAAGTCCCTGACTTATCAGTTAAAAGCAACAGCTTACAGCAACTTGCAGATGAAAATAAACTTACTTTCTTCAAGCTTTAGATTTTTTTTTAACTATTGAGATAAATACAGAAAGTAACATCTTTTGGATGTCTGAACATTTGTAAGATAATGTCATTCACATCTTCAAGCCATTCAGCTACCTGACAGCCAATCAATCACTGTTGTTGGCAGGCAGAAGGCCTTTGTCATCAACAACTAATCACCACTCCACAGACAACCAGCTACTTGCTACCAGTCAAATTTCCTTTCACAGATACCACCCGATTCCCACTCGTCCACAGTAATCTCCAATTCTTGAAGAAGTTGTAAGTGCTGTTTACACTTCTGTAGTCAGTCTTCTATAAGCCTTGGCTTTTAAAACAGTCCTTTTCCTATTTCAGTCGACAAGGAAATAAAAACAAAAATAAAAAGATGTGGTCACTACAGTACTAAACAAGCCAGTAGAGCTGCGGGGTGCCAATCTCGGTGTCCAGATCGGCTTTGCCCAGGATAGCTAATGAGATAGTAGTTGCGTTGGAGCAAAATTTTCCAAAATTCCCTACATTCAAGGAATGCTTTATTGGACTGGATATTAGCAACTATAACATCTCTGTTTGGGAAGGGGGTGCTGTGAGAGAGCGAGGGAGAACAAGAAACTATAGGCCAGTAGCTTGATATCTGTCAAGGGTAAGGTGTTAGAATTGATCATTAAAGAAATTATGGCTACATACTTAGCAAAACTCAAGGGACTCAGCAAAAATCAGCATAGCTTCAAAGGGAAATCATGTTCAACTAATTTATTGAAGTATCGCTCTCTCACAGCACCCCCTTCCCAAACAGAGATGTTATAGTTGCTAATATCCAGTCCAATAAAGCATTCCTTGAATGTAGGGAATTTTGGAAAATTTTGCTCCAACGCAACTACTATCTCATTAGCTATCCTGGGCAAAGCCGATCTGGACACCGAGATTGGCACCCCGCAGCTCTACTGGCTTGTTTAGTACTGTAATAATATACATTGTAGATAGACTGGAGCCTGTGTAAGTAATTATTTTGATTTTCAGAAGGTATTAGATAATGTGCTTCAAAGGTTATTGCAGAAAATGAAAGCTCATGATGTACTGGGTATCATATCAACAAGCACTGAATGTTGGCTGATTGACAGGAAGCAGAGAGTATAAATGAATGGATCTTTGCCTGACGGCAAAATGTGACAGCTGGAATCCCCCAGAGTTCAGTGTTGGGGCCTCAAAATTTTCTTTTTAAAACAAATTACACCAATCTCAAGTACTGTGGGCAGTTTTGATCTGCTTATTTACAGGATAATGTAAATGCACTGGAAGCACTTAGAGAGTCATAGAGTTATACATCACGGAAACAGATCCTTCTGCCCACAGTTTTTGAGATGTAGTTTATAACTGCCCTTTATAACTGCAGCATAATATCCTGCCTCTTATGTTCAATTCTTCTTGTTGTAAAGGACAGTGTCGTATTAGCCTTAGTTATTACATTCCATACCTGCACTGATCAGATACCCTAAACTGACCTGGTCCCATTTGCCAGCATGCGGCCCATATTCCTCTAAACCCTTCCTATTCGTATACCCATCCAGATGCCCTTTAAGTGTTGTAATTGTACCAGCCTCCACCACCTCCTCTAGCAGCTTGTTCATTCATCAGCTGAGAGGTGAGTGATACCTGGTAACTAACAGGAGGTTTCTTTGTTCATGTTTGACCCGATGCACTGAGGCCTCATGAATGTTTGTCATTTGAGAGTTAGGGAAATACTACCTAGAAGCAGAGACTTTTTTTTTGGTCATTCGGGCGGTGTCCACTCCATTAAAATTGATTTTTTGGGGGTTTTGCTCGAATACTCATGGAGCAAGCATCAAGAACAACACTAGCATTTGTTTCACTGAACTCCCTCTAATTATGGAGGATGCCATGGAGGCATTACTGATGGAACAAAAAACAAGACAGCATAGGTACGGGCCTTTCAGCGCAACAAGACTGCACCAAAATTTACTAGATTCTTATGAACAGATTTACCAGATTCATATCTGAAATGAGTGGGATGTTTAACAGGATAGATTAGATTTATTTCTACTGGAGATTAGAAGACTAAGGGTTGACTTAAATAAAGTATACAAGATTCTGAATGAACAAGGTGAACATGGAAAGGATGTTTCCTCTTGTGGGTCATTCCAAAACCAAGGCCACTGTTTTAAAATTAGGGCTTCACTTTTAGTACAGAAGAGAATTTTTTTCTGAGGGCTGTATGATTTTGGAATTTACCGCTGCAAAGTGGTGGAGGTGGGATCACTAAATATTTTAAAGACTGAGGTAGATAAAGTCCCATTAGGAAAGAAAATCAAAAGGTTAGTCAGGGATAGGAGGGAATGTGAAATTCAAAACGCAAGCAATTTAGCCATGATAGTATTGAATAACGTAGCAGCCTTGAGGCCAAATGCTAACTCCTGCTCTGATTTCTTATGTTCTTAAAAGGATCTGTGATGACGTTGCTTTCAGTCTAAAGAAATTACCAACTGCAAAAATTAAATCCTTCTAATGATTCTTATGAAGTGGATGACATATTAAAGTGACAAACTTTTGGGCTCTTCTATTCAAAATAGTTGTCGATTGGGAGGCATTAAAAGACTACTGTTGCTTAAACTAGTCAACTGAACTTGTGCTGCGAGTACAAGAACCGATGCATCTAGAAAATTCATCATTTTTTATCAATACAAGTCTCCCAGGCATCACTTAGAACCAGATATCTTGTGTGTAGATTTGCAACTCATTACAGCTAGCCTAATTTGCATGGTTAAGCAATTCAGGATGGGTTTTGAATTTTATTTTCTTTCTCCTCAGTTGTGCAAAATTGTTTCATAAGTTAGCAAAACAGGTTTTATGTATATCCTTTTGAGGACACACTCATATTTAGATCACAGACTAGTCTAGACAGTGCATTAAACAATCTAACCCTTTATTCAGACCACGTTGTTCAATTTATGAAGATATCAACTGAAGATTAAACCCGTGTAGGAAATCAGTGAAAGGGAAGTAAAATTTAATCTTAAGTTGACTGTTGGAAAATAACAATCCACTATACATTACAGAATTATAAAAATTTGCACCAAGATATATATAAATGACATTGGTAAAATGTTAGTCATTTGTCAGTACAGTTGTCTTCAACGCTTTAGATGGTGAATTAGTAATTGTTCAAGAAGAATTCTCTCTTCTGAACAGTCTTATTAAAATTAATCAGAAGTACATAGTGTTACTCCCGAATGTGTGCTGAACTACAGCTGGTGCATACCAAAACCTAGTCCTCAGGGAAGATCCCATTATCAACGAACTGCAAGGGTAACAAAAGTTCAAAAGGAGGAGCCAGTCCTGGAAACAAGGCATGAGCAGAAATATTCTTGCCACCAAAGGACACTGCTACGAGACACTTATTCCAGACTTCCAGATTCAGCTTGGTCAGTCGTTAAGGTGTGCCAGATGATCTCAAATGGCCTCACCCAAAGACTAAGGCTACATCCTGGGAATATTTACAAATGGAGGGATACCAAAAGTAATATCCAGCATAAGTTACTTGTTTGGAAGTAAACTAAATTGATTACTTTGAGAAACTCAAATTGAGTACAGGACTTTTAACTTGGGCAAGAATTTCTGAACGAAAAATATCACTGGGCTATTAACTATTCACGTATTATACAAATACATTTTTTAAAAACTCCATATAAATCATGATATTTTAGGAGTTAAAATCAAAGTTGCTCTGATGTTATGCTAAAAGATCAATAGTCTATTTAGTAAAAGAAAATGGTTTCAGACATTAACATTAAAATTACCTACAAGATGTACACACCCATGATGTGGATGCGGAGATACATTGATGTGAAATATTTCCAAAATGATCAGCAGCAATTTCAGTGACTTGAATATATACAGGTTATTCATAAGTTAGCAAAACAGGTTTTATGTATATCCTTTTGAGGACACACTCATATTTAGATCACAGACTAGTCTAGACAGTGCATTAAACAATCTAACCCTTTCAATTCAATAATCACGCACAAATGTCATATGATAAGCATTATAATACCAATGATCAATAAAACTTGTCCTGCGTAAACAACAAATATCTCACTGAAAAACAAACTACTCAATCTTCTAAAGATCACTGTTCAATTGTGATGTTACTTTTGGCTGCATCAGAAGTACAAGCAACATTGGAAAAAAGGCATACTAAAATTATGTGAGCATTAAGTGGCTGCATTTTGTTTTTTTAAGTTCCACAAAAGAAAAGTGCATACTCACATCTACTAACCAAATTTCATCTTCTCTATTGTCTTTAAACCTGCAATAAAAATCAGGCTGTCAACAAATTGTCATTTTTCTTACAGATGTATCCAAGTCATTAGACTATTCATCCGGATTAACGAATATTCATAGAATGATCATAGAATTCCTACAGTGTTGAAAACAGGCCCTTCGGCCCAACAAGTCCACACCAACCCTCAGAGCATCCCACCCAGACCCATCCCCCTATAACCCACCTAAATCTACACATCCCTGAACACTACGGGCAATTTAGTATAGCCAATTCACCTAGCTTGCACATCTTTGGACTGTGGGAGGAAACCCACGCAGACACAGGCAGAACTGGCAAACTCCACACCGACAGCCGCCCGAGGGTGGAATCGAACCTGGGTTCCTGGCGTTGAGAGGCAGCAGTGCTAACCACTAACCACCATGCTGCTCCTTTCCAGCTTCCATTTTTTTTTTTTTACTAATTCTAGGTACTGTACATATGATCAGTAATGGTGAATAACAGTGTGAATTTACAATGTCAATGTTATGAACCTCAATGGGTAGGTACAGTGGAAACCTAGCTATTGGAGGGGGTGCAAAGGAGGTTCACTAGGTTGATTCCGGAGTTGAGGGGGTTGGCTTATGAGGAGAGACTGAGTAGATTGGGATTATATTCATTGGAATTCAGAAGATTGAAGGGGGATCTTATAGAAACATATAAAATTATGAAGGGAATAGATAAGATAGAAGTAGAGAGGATGTTTCCACTGGCAGGTGAAGCTAGGACAAGAGGGCATAGCCTCAAGATTAGAGGGAGCAGATTTAGGACTGAACTGAGAAGGAATTTCTTCACCCAGAGGGTTGTTAATCTATGGAATTCCTTGCCCAGTGAAGTAATTGACGCTACTTCAGTAAATGTTTTTTAAAAAAGTAGATTTTTTTTGAACAATAAAGGAATTAAGGGATACGGTGAGAACGCGGGTAAGTGGATCCGAGTCCACGAAAGGATCAGCCATGATCTTATTGAATGGCGGAGCAGGCTCGAAGGGCCAGACGGCCTACTCCTGCTCCTAGTTCTTATGTTCTTATGTCCAGTGATAACTCCTGTGTGCATACCATTGTTATTTTCACCTTTTGTGAATCACTCCACTGTAAAATGCAAGTACCTTTCCAAATAAATTGAAACTGATTGTTAAAATGTTCTAATTAATTCTTTTAAACTAAACACTTTGCAAGCTCTGTAATTGTAAAAATAAAATTAATTTTTCGTAGACACATGCAACTCATCCACCTGGAAACATGGCACAGGATGAAAAAGAAAATCAGAATATTAAAAGGTTCCATGAAATATTTGTGTCATGGGTATGATGGCCACTGTTGGAGGTAACTAATGGCAGACAACACTGTAACTTATTGGAAGGTTGAGGGCATCCTCACAGTAATATTCACTGCCATTCAAACAGTGGGGTCAAGTGGGGAAAAAAAAAAACTTAAAACATTTTCTGCACCCCACCGCACTGAGGTTGCTGCACTCTGGGAAAGATAGTGGTATAGGTCACTGTCAATATTTTCCTGAGGTAAATGCACTGAGAGTCAAAATATCTAGTAAGAAGCTACCTGGATCTGATACTGGCCAAACCAGCTTAAAAGAACAAACATCGGACTTTCCAGTACAAAACCTGACATCGGGTCACAGGGACATAATCATTGATTTTCGTTCATTCACAGGATGTGGATGTCACTGGCCAAGACAGCATTTATTGCACCGACAACAGTTAAACAACAAACACATCACTGTGGGTCTGGAGTCACATGTAGGCCAGGCATGGTTGGCAGATTTCCTTTCATAAAAGGATATTAGTGAACCAGACGGGTTTTTCTGACAAACGGCAATGATTTCATGGCCATCGATAGACTCTTAATTCCAGATTTTCATTAAATTCAAATTCTACCATTTACTATGGCAGGGTTTGAACCTGGCTCCCCAGAACATTACGTGGATTAATAGGCCTAGTGGTATTATCGCTAGACCATCATCTTTACTGATAAAGGATCACACAGCAGGCTAGCATGGATAAGTAAGCTCATAAAAAGCACTTCTTTTAGTGAACATGTCAAGAATGTCCAGAACTAAAACAGCACTTTTATGGTTACAGTCTTCAAGCTCAAAATATGAATCTTTCACTTAGATATCATTCCTTGAGAATACAGTACTATCTGCAAGACTGCAATTACTGCAAAACACATCACTTTTGAGGCTGCATCAAGACAAGTCAAACAGCTCAAGCAATAAAATGAAGAGTTATTTTTAAGCACATTAAGTAGGATGAAACCGCTACAAGACAAAGCTTGAGCTTTTTCCCTCACTCATCACTAACATATATTCGTGCGTCTTTAGATTCCACAACGGAGATTTGAGTCCAAAAGCTGGTGCTAAATTTTAATGTAATTTGAAAGGAATGCTGCACTGTCAGAGTTGCAGTCATACAAATAAGGCGTTGAAACAAGGCCTGGTTTGCCTCCTTTGATGGATATAAATGAACAAACTATTTTGAAAAGGAGGGTGTTGTGTCCCAGTCAATACTTACAAATTCTACATTACGTTTTCCTCCTATAATGACTAGCTTGAGCATTTGTTCTCAGTTTACAATGTCTCAATGCTTCAGAGGCAAAGGTAACCTCTCTTCAATGGGAGTTAAACACTGACAAATTCACCAAAAGCACTTTAAGCAGCACCTTCCAAATACAATACTGTGGATGTATCTACATCAAATACACCAGTGGTTGAAGAAGGCAGCTCAATACCATTTTCTCAACGGCAGTTAGAGATGGACCATAAATGCACACCCCAGCCAAAGCCAGTATTCTAGAATAAATGAAACAAACCTGAAAAACCTCATCCTTCCTTGTGGCTAGATTATAATTTCCATATGATAAATCTGGAAATTCAGGTATTAGACTTCTATTGCAGGGCTTTCCCATTGATTCGGCAGATTATCAGAGGCAGCATTCTATGATTGATTTGAAAATGATCACTGATGCATCATGCACAAACCATGTGTGGCACAGTGTGTCTTCTCAAGCTCCACCAGTGTAGTGATTGTAATTCTTGCATGAGTGACATCCAGAGAAGTCAATGTGTCATCTGAAGCAGACTTGCTGCTTCACATAGTTCTGGAGTTTGCAATTCAGTGCTATTGCTTCTTTGCTGTTTGCACTCCAGAGATGGGTCCTAACTGAAATGAAATCATTAGCACTTGCACCATGCCGTGATGCTTCATTTTCTGCCCACAACATTAAATTCAGGATTTTCCCTAGGTAAGAGGTTAGAAGCATAGAAACAAGGCTTTGCTGTGCAGCATGCAACAGCTTTCCAGAGAATGGTGCTCAAAGAAGATGAGTTGGAAAAGTTTACAACAATGTACCATGTCTAGCCAGAATCCAATTCAGGATTTACTAGCTTTCTGCACGGGGTCAGTCAATAATAACTAATTTCTAATTGTGCTCAAATAGCAGATCTGATGTAATGCGATCTGAAACACATAGCTGCCTATTGTTATAAATCTTGCAACCCAATCAGAACTGTTATGTTTTAATCCACTACCATTTGAGCAAAAAAAACTGAAGAGCTCTTCCAGTTTTGACACACTTTACAAATCTCCCCTCCTCCATTTTTTCAGTCGCATAGCCTTTGATCTCCAGATCCCTCCGTCATTTGGAATAAACTCACCCTGCCTTCTGCGTGGTTGGATTCAAAGTTTTGCAGATGAGACATTAAACAAAAGGCAATATCTGGCTCCTCAGATAAATGCAAAAGATTTAAATCTCAACTGTCACCTCAGAAATTATTTGATGAATTGTTGTTTGAGAGGCTTGTGTTAATTGGCTGCTGTTTTTCCTACATTGCATCATCAATTCAGAAGTTTGTAAAATTTTAATTTCTCTCAAAATTCACAGAATGTCAAGTTTAGTAATTAACAGTATAAGTTCCATTACAATAGTGTGATAATTATATAGTTAGATATTTAGTTATTATCTTTACACAAAGCAACAAACTACTCCCGTAAAACTAACCTTTTCCCTCTGCCTAGTCACTACCTGAAACTGAACAATGCTGTTCCAAAGATGACAGGGAGAGTTACAAGGAAGTTTTGCTGTGTGGTTATAACAGGCTAGGCACTAAATTAAAAAAAACACACACAATCTCTGGATTACTACCTGAGCCATGTAGAAATTGACAAAGCACATAAGATTAGTGAAAGGAGACTCAAAGACTGGTGTGGGCTTAGTGAGTTGCAGTTCACTGAATATTGACAATACCAGGGAAAGTGGGATTTGCATAGTTGGGATGATCTAGGCTGAAACATGTCCAGCGCTGGTGTTCTAGCAAGCCTCCTAGCTGGGGAAGACGGGTTTAAACGTGGGAGGGTACTACTGGTGGTGGTGATGTGAGGGGTTAAACTTGGACAGATGCAGCAAATCAAGGGGTAGGGTCAAGGCAGGACAGCAAAACAGTCATATCAGAAATGAACATCAGAGAATGGCAGGAAGGAAGAGGGGAAAACCTAAGAATACATCAAAAAATCAAGGCTAATCTCACAAAGATACCAAAGGACAAAACTAATGCAGGTGGCATTCATAAAGTAAATGGATTAATAGTGCACATTGAAATAATTGAATATGGCCCGGTAGCCTTTAGGGAGACATGGCAATAGGAATGACAAGGATTAGGTCCGGAACATTGAGGTTATATGATTCTCAAGAAGATTAGGAAGCTAGGTAAAATGCAGAGGCGTGACACTGTTAATCAAGATGGCATTGGTGCATTAAGATGACATTGTTTCAGCAGATCAGGCTGTAGAATCAGTTTGAGTGGAGACAAGGCAGAACAGTTGGGGAAAAAAATTCCTACGAGGAGTGATCCACAGGGTCCCTAACAGTAACACACTACAGGACAAAGTATACAAGAAATACTGAGTGCTGGAGATAAAGTTGCGCAATAATCAGAGGTAATTTCAATGCACATATAAACTGAGAAAAATGAGA